TGTAAATCCACACACAGTTGTTTTAAAAAAAAAATGCAGAGAGGTCCTGTGAATCCTTTATCCATTTTCCCCCAAAGGTAACATCTTACAGAACTAAAATGCAATGTCAGGATCAGAATATTAACATAATAATAACGTAATGTTATTAACATTAACATTGATACAGTCAAGTTAATGAACACTTCCATCATGGTATGTATATTTCACGTTGCCTCAAAAGCCACACCACTTCCCTCCCACCATCACCCCCTCCTTAACTGCTAGTGGCAACTAATCTGTTCATTTCTACCATGTTGTCATTTCAACAATGCTACAGAAATCTAACCTTTTGAGATTGGCTTTTTTTCCACTTAGCATAATTCTCTGGAGAGTCATCCAGTTGTTAGATAGATCAATAGCTTGTTCCTTTGTATTGCTGAGCAGTATTCTGTGCTATGGATGGCCCACAGTTTGTTTACTCCCTCACTCCCTGAAGGACATCTGGATTGTTTCCAGCTTTTGTCTATCATGAAGAAAACTACAATCTACTCTTGGGTACAGGTTTTTTTGTGTAACCGTAAGTTTTCATTGCCCTGGGATAAATGCCCAGGAGTGTAATTGTTGGGTCATATGGTAACTGCATGTTTATTTATTCTTTTAAAAAACTGCCAAGCTGTTTTCCAGAGTGAATGTACCATTTTACATTCCCACCAGTAATATATGAGTGATTCAGTTTCTTCACACCCTCATGGATGTTTGGCGTTGTCACTATTTATCTCAGCCATTCTGATAGATATACAGTGATACCGAATTGCAGTTTTAATTTGCATTTCTCTAATGGCTAATATTGTTGGACATTTTTTCATGTGCTTATTTGCCACTTTATATCCTCTTTCGTGAAATGTCACTTTGTGTCTTTTGTCAATTTTCTAATAGGATTGTTTTGATCAGTTTTGAGATTTCTTTTTATGTTCTAAATACTAGCCCTCTGTCAGGTGATTTGCAAATATTTTCTGCCAGCCTGTAATTAGTCCTTTCATTTTGTTAACAGGGTCCTTCACAAAGCAAACATTTAAAGGTTTTTGATAAAGTCCAATTTATCAATTTTTCCTTTTATGGATATTTTTGGTATCAAGTCAAAGAAGTCTTCGCTTAGCTCTTATTATTGTAGATTTTCTTAAAAATTATAGTTTTTACATTTATGTCTGTTATCCATTTGGGGCTTTTTTTTTTTTTTGATAAGGTGTGAGACTTAGGTCAAGGTTTTTTTTGTTGTTGTTGTTGTTGTTTTAAACCCTAAGATTTCCAATTCCCACAGCACTATTAAATATTGAATGGACTAGCTTTCTCCCACCTTTGCACATTTGTCAAAAATCTATTGGGTATGGGGCGCCTGGGTGGCTCAGTCGTTAAGTGTCTGCCTTCGGCTCAGGTCATGATCCCAGGGTCCTGGGATTGAGCCCCGCATCAAGCCCCTCATCGGGCTCCCTGCTCGGTGGGAAGCCTGCTTCTCCCTCTCGGACTCCCCCTGCTTGTGTTCCCTCTCTTGCTGTGTCTCTGTCAAATAAATAAATAAAATCTTAAAAAAAATCTATTAGGTATATTTGTGTGGGTGTCTTTCTAGGTTCTCTATTCTGTGCCACTGATCTGTGGATCTAACCCTCTATCAATACCACAGGCTTGATTAATATACCTATTATCATACATCTGTAAACAGGGTAGACTGATTCCTCCCACTTTATTCTACTTTCAAAATTGTTTTAGCTATTCTAGTTCCTTTGGCTTTTCATATAAAATTTAGAATAATCTTATATATATCTGTAAAAAAACTTGTTGGAATTTTTGTAGAAATTGTGTCAAACTTGTATGTCAGTTTTGAGAGAATTGATATCTTTATTATGCTGACTCTTCTAACTCATGAACGCTGTATTTCTATTTATTTAGATATTATATCAGCACTGTGTAGTTTTTGTATACAACCCTGTACATGTCTTGTTAGATTTATACACACACACAACACACACAGCTATTGTACAGGTATTGTATTTTAAATTTTAGTGTCCATATGTTCATTGCTAGTATATGGAAATGCAATCAAATTTTGTATGTAAATCTTGCATCCTCCACACTGCTGAATTCACTTAGTTCTAAAAGATTTTTTGGTAGATTTTGAAATTTTCTACATAGGCAATTATGTCCTCTGTAACAGAATACATAGTTCTATTTCCTCTTTTATGATTTATATGCCTTTTATTTCCTTTTTTTGTCTTATTGCACTGGCTACAAATTCTAGCACTATGTTGAATAACACTGGTAAAGGCAGACATCCTTATATTGTGCCATTTAGTATGTTAGTTGTTGGGGTTTTTTGTAGATATTCTTTATCAAGTTGTGTAAATTCCCCTCTACTCCTATATTTCATGAATGGGTATTGAATTTTGTCAAATGATTGCTCTGTATTGATTGATTTTTTCTTTAATATAGTAGATGATATCAAATTGATTACATTGAATAATTTTCAAATAGTGAACTGGTCTTGCATCTCTGGAATGAATCTCACTTGCTCATGGTATAATAATTCTGTTTTATATATTGCTGAATTCTATTTGCTAATATTTTGTTAAAGATTTTGCATTCATATTCATGAAGGATACTGGTGTGTAGTTTTGTTATGTTGCTGTCTTCATCTGGTTTTGATATCTGAAAAATATTAGCTTCATAAAATGAATTAGGAAATGTTCTTTGCTCTTTTATTTTCCAGAAGAGATCGTGTGTAGAATTGGTGTTAATTCTTTAAACATTTGGTAGAATTCTCCATAGAATCACTTAGGAGTGGAGAATTATTTTGGGGTGGTGTTTAAAATTATGAATTCAATTTTTAAATAGTTATAGAACTATTCAAATGATCTATTTCATATTACGTGAACTGTAGTAACTTGTGTTTTTTGAGGAATTGGTCCATTTCTCTAAGTTGCCAAATCTGTGTGTATACCTGTTTTTAGTATTCCCTTAATATCATTTGATGTCTGCAGTGTTTTTAGTGATAGCCTCTGTTTCATTCCTGATATTGATAATTTGTCTTCTCTCTCTTTTCTTTGCCATACAGGAAATTTGTCAAAGTTATTAGTCTTTTCAAAGAACCAGATCTTTGAGATTGAGAAAACAATCCCATTTACAAACTGCACCAAAATAAAATACCTATGAACAAACTTTTCCAGGAGGTGAAAGATCTGTACTCTAAAAACTATAAAACATTGATGAAAGAAATTGAAGAATGACATAAACAAATGGAAAGATGTTCCACGCTTATGGATTGGAAGAACCAATAATGCCAAAATGTCTATACTACCCAAAGCAATCTACAGATTTAATGCAATCCTTATCAAAACACCAACAATATTTTTCACAGAACCAGAACAAATTATACTAAAATTTATATGAAACGACAAAAGACCCCAAATAGCCAAAGCAATCTTGAGACAGAACAAAGCTGGAGGTATTACAATCCCAGATTTCAAGATACACAACAAAGCTGTAGCAATCAAAAGTGTAAGGTACTGGCACAAAAACAGATGCATAGGGGCGCCTGGGTGGCTCAGTTGTTAAGTGTCTGCCTTTGGCTCAGGTCATGATCCCAAGGTCCTGGGATCAAGCCCCACATCGGGTTCCCTGCTCGGCGGAAAGCCTGCTTCTCCCTCTCCCACTCCCCCTGCTTGTGTTCCCTCTCTTGCTGTGTCTCTGTCAAATAAATAAATAAAATCTTAAAAAAAAATAGATGCATAGAACAATAAAACAGGATAGAGAGCCCAGAAGTAAACCCACACTTATATGGTCAATTCATCTATGAAAAGGCAGGAATATACAACAGGGAAAAGACAGTCTTTTTAACAAATTGTGCTAGGAAAACTGGACTGCTACATGCAAAAGAATGAAACTGGACTCTTTCTTACACCATACACAAAAATAAACTCAAAATGAACCTAAATGTGAGACTTGAAACCAAAAAGCTCCTAAAAGAAAATATAGGCTGTAATCTCTTGGACGTCACCATTAGCAACATATCTACGGATAGATTTCCTCAGGCCAGAAAAATAAAAGCAAAAATAAACTATTGGGACTACACCAAACTAAAAAGCTTTTTCACGGCAAAGAAAACCATCAACAAAACAAAAAGGCAACCTACTGAATGAGAGAAGATATTTGCAAATGATATATCCAATAAGGGGTTAACATCCAAACTATATAAAGAACTTAAATACAACTCACCACAACTCACACACCACAACTCAATTTGGCCAAAAAATAGGCAGGGGACCTGAATAGACATTTTTCCAAAGAAGACACACACATGGCCAACAGACACATGAAAAGATGCTCAACATCACTCATCATCAGGAAAATGCAAATCAAACCACAATGAGATATCACCTTACATCTGTCAGATGGCTAAAAGACAAGAAATAACAAGTGTTGGTGGGGATATGGAGAAAAAGGATCCCTCCTGCACTGTTGGTTAGAATGCAAACTGGTACAGCCATTATGGAAAACAGTATAGAGTTTCCTCAAAAGATTAAAAATAGAAATATCATACGATCCAGTAATTCCATTGCTGGGTATTTACCCAAAGAAAATGAAAACACAATTTGAAAAGATGTATGCACCCTTGTTCGTTGCAGTATTATTTACAATAGCCTAGATATAGAAGCAACCTAGGTCATCGTTAGATGACTAGATAAGAAAGATGTGGTGTATACACACACACACACACACACACACAGGAATATTACTCAGTGATAAAAATGAATGAAATCTTGCCATTTGCAACAACATGGATAGACCTAGAGGGTATATTGCTAAGTGAAATAAGTCAGCCAAAAAAAGACAAATATGATTCCATTCATGTGTGGAATACAAGAAACAAAACAAACGAACAAAGAAAAAAAAAAAAGAAACAAAAAAAAAAAAACTACTCTTTTTTTTTTTTTAAAGATTTTATTTATTTATTTGAGACAGAGAGAATGAGAGACAGAGAGCATGAGAGGGAGGAGGGTCAGAGGGAGAAGCAGACTCCCTGCCGAGCAGGGAGCCCGATGCGGGACTCGATCCCGGGACTCCAGGATCATGACCTGAGCCAAAGGCAGTCGCTTAACCAACTGAGCCACCCAGGCGCCCCCCAAAAAACTACTCTTAAATGCAGGTGGGTGGGTAGAGGGGTGAAACAGATAAAGAGGATTAAGAGTACACTTATCTTGATGAGCACTGAGAAATGTATAGAATTGTTGAATCAATATACTGTACACCTGAGACTAATATAGCACTGTATGTTAATTATACTTGAATTTAAAAAAAAAAGAACCAACTTTTTGATCAATTCATTTTTTCCCATAGTTTTTGTTTTAATTTCATTAACTTCTGCTCTTTATTATTTCCTTCCTGCTTTCTTTGGGTTTATTTTGCTCTCCTTTTTCCAAGTTCTTGAGGTGGGATGTTATATTATTGATTTGAGACTGTTTCTTTTTATTAACATACTAAGAGTGTTATAAATTTTCCTCTCAGCATTGCTTTAGCTGTGTCACACAGATTTTGGTATGTTCTATTTTCATTCGATATATGTTTTTATTTTCACTTTCTTCTGACCTTCATGGTTTTTTGTTTTGTTTTGTTTTTTTGAGAGAGAGAGAGTGAGTGAGTGTAGTGGGGAGGAGCAGAGGGAGAGGGGAGAGAGAATCTTAGCAGGCTCCATGTCCAGCACAGAGCCCAATTCGGGGCTTGATCTCATGACCATGAGTTCATGACATGAGCTGAAACCAAGAATCAGACACTTAACCGACTGAGCCACCCAGGTGCCCACGAGTCTTTTTAAATTTAATTTTAGATTTTCCTTGTTATTGGTATGAGTAATTTTTGATGGAAATCTGGACATTTTTGTATTTTGTAATGAGACACTAGATGTTATTTAAGCCTTTTATTTTAACTCTCTTTCTTGAACACTGTTCTTTCAAGGACAGGGGAGGGTACCACCTTATGACTGCCAGGTGGAAGTAGCCTCTGTAGTCATTCAGCCTTGGCTGACACCTGGTAGGGGATCCTCAGTACTGCTTGAGGGGGTGGGACTTTCAGCTCCCCTTGTGGTCTTTACTGACATCATGGGAGATGGCCTTGTTACTGCTGGTTGATGGTAAAAGTCCTGATTCCCCTTTAGGCCTCCTCTGACATCACCCCAGGAGGGAGGGGGTAGGAATGCCTTATCACTGCTGCATGGGGTTGGAGCTACAGACTCGTGTGGTCTCCAGTGATATGAGAGGGAGAGGGCTCATTACTGGTTGGCAGGGATGAATGTCCTGGCTTCCCACTTGGCCTTCTCACACATCACCCTACTGGGGTGTTGTGGCACCTTGCTACAGTGGTGTGTGAGTGGAAGTCTCAGCTCCTCATTCTACTCAGCCTTTGCTAGTAGGGATGGGGATGGAGCCAAAGTCTTTTCTGTGATGCTTTGCTTTTATTGTCTAAAAGTTTCCTGTCTTGCCGGGCTGCCTTTTTCTGATCCTTTGGCTAGACTGAGAACAGGTCTTTGTTGTGGCTTTTCTCCCCTGCCCTCACTGGCATTCCTTTATTGTTGGCTTTTTTAACTCCAAGTCTGAGATATATGAGGCTAAAAGAAAACGTAGAGAACTCACCACCACGTCTTAAGTCCCAAAGTCTCTTGCTGATCTGTCTTCTTCTCTCCACCTTTCAGTGTCTTAGGTTTGTTTTAATACAATGTCTAGGGTTTTTACGTTGTATTTAACAGGATATATAAGGAAAACAATGCCTATTTTATTTTTCCAGAAGCAGAACTACAATACATTCAATTTTAGGATAAAGATCCACAGCTAATAGTGGCATGACCAAATTAGATCTCTGCTCTCTCAACTCTGGTCAGTGCTCTTACCATTGTAATAGTGAAATGCAGGCATCTACCTTAAACTGTGAGGGCACAGAGACAATGTCATGAAAATACTGTACTCCCACTGCCTCCCAGCCATTTATTTTACTTTGTACTCCTTTAGAATCTTATATAATTTTAGCTACCTCACCATATTGCAGTCTCCAGTGGTGGGTCCAGAATTCCCACATATGAGCAGCTTAGAGGCAGCAATGTGAATTCAAGGGAGGCCAGAGGACTTATAGCTATAGCCTAGCAAATACTCTGTTTTTACTTAACTGTCTATTATTGGAGGTAGACTGAGGGATGGTGAGTGGAAATAGGGGCTAAATCACCTCAAGCCATCCAAACACCACCTGCCTTGTATTAAACTACAATGGTGGCAATACATTGATCTGGTAGCCTCTGTTGGTTTTAATTAGCTACTTTAGGATGGAGATGGGATATTTTATTGAATATAAATCTGAGGTTATCTTTGGTATTGGAAGATTAGAGAAGACCTTAATAAAATTTGCTTGTTTCCCCCCTACTGTTGGCATCAGGTACACATTCATATCCACATAAAAGCAGAGTCTGTCATCTCAGAGTTCCACTTATCCTTGCATCAGTCTCAAGTATCAAAATTGATTTTTTTAAATGTTCATTTGAAAAACAGCAGAGATAAGATTCAAGGATGCTTGCTCTTAGAGAAGGATTATTTATTAAGGGAAAGACTTGTCCTTTGAAAATTATTATCATAATTATCACTAAGAACCCAATTCTATATTTCTTATTAAGGCAAAATCCCTACTGAGGCAGACACAAGAAGGATGTTGATTGCAGTGGGATATCTGTCTGAATAGGGCTAAGTAATCAGCTTTGAAATGTCACTCAAAGGAATCAGCAGGGCAGAGGCTATTCCCTAGCAGGTCACAACGCTTTTGGTTTTGGGGTTTTGTTTTTGTTTTTGTTTTTGGAAATGCCTAGGGTTTGATATCATCCTTGTATAGATAATTTTTCTGGATGACTCCAGAAGCAATATTTAGGACTTGAGGAAAAATTATATTAGAACAGAGAAAATAGCATGGAAATGCAAGGAACCATATCAACTCATTGAATGTTGAGAGTCATTGAACCCTATACTGTCAGAGCTAAAGTTGTTTGGTCCCAATCCACCCTGATATGTAATTCTACTCTAGAGTCACTTTGCCATGATTTTTTCTGTTTCATGCTAGGAAAATTGGAGATGTGCACAGACAGCCCACTTCAGTCTCCGTGGGCTGACTTCCCTGTCTTCATTTGTAGGGCTTGACTCTATTCCTTGGGGCCATGCAAGCATTTTGTGAGTAAATAATGAGAATACAATTTAGCTTAAATCATTTGAAAACATTAAAAACCTCAATACAATAGGCACTTGACATTTTGAAAGGCTACCTTCCAAAACCTTTAATATTCTCCAGACATGGAAATATTGCTATAGGTCATAATTTCTTCCCTAAACTGTATTAAGTCTCAAGTAGCAAACTATGGCCACTCACCACTGAATTTTCAGATACTAAGCAGTTGACTAGTTTCACTCACTCACCAAGAATTTTGTAGAAAACTTTACTTCTATAATGGCTCTCATTCATTTATTTATTTCTTCATTCATTCTACACATACTGAAAGTCTAGTAGGTGAGAGGTATTATACTAAGCTCTTTAGATAATAAAACAAATATAATCCCTGTTCTTAGGGTATTAGCAGTCTAGTAGAAGGGGCGGTCAATAGACAAGTAAATAAAAATTTATTAAATACAAATTATGATGAGTGCTTTGAAGGAAACAGACAAGGTAGAGTGATACATGGTAAATCGTAGGGGAAAGCTTACTCAGAACAGGTAAGCAGGGTGGACCTCACTGAGAGAGTTGCATATGTGCTGAGAATCCAAAGAGTCAGTTACATAAAAGCAGGGAAAAGGGTATTTCCAGTATAGGAAAAGCATGTTTAACGTCTCGGACACTGGAGGGACGCCTGGGTAGCTCAGTCGGTTAAGCGTCTGCCTTCGGCTCAGGTCATGATCCTAGGGTCCTGGGATCGAGTCCCACATCGGGCTCCTTGATTGGCGAGGAGCCTGCTTCTCCCTCTGCCTGCCACTCCCCTTGCTTGTACTCTCTCTCTCCCTCTAGCAAATAAATAAAAAAATCTTAAAAAAAAAACAAAACATCTCAGACACTGGAAAAAGCATGGGACATTTGGGGGGTTGAAAGAAGGTCAGTGTGGCCAGAGGGAAGTCAGAAACGCAGAAGGGGCAGGAGATGGGTAAATTTTGTCAGTCAAGGGCCACATCACATGGGGTCCTTTTGGACCATTTGCCTTAGTACATCTGTGTTGCTATGGTGGAATACCACAGACTGGTGGTTTAAACAGCAAACATTCATTTCTCACAGTTCTAGAGGGTGGGAAGTCCAGTATCAAGGTGCCAGTAGATTTAGTGTTTAGTGAGGATCATAGATGTCTTTTTGTTCATGTCTCCACATGGCAAAAGGGAGTATGCAAGCTTTTATAAAATCACTGATCACATTCACAAGGGCTCCACCATCATGACCTAATTACCTCCCAAAGACCCCACTTCCTAATACCATTTCATTGGGGGTTAGGATTTCATCATATGAATTGGGGGGGGGATGGCACCAACATTCAGTCTATAACACCATTGTAAGGAGTTTAGATTTTATTCTTATGCAAAAGGAAGCCATTGAAAGGGTTTTAATAGGAAAGGGGTGTGTTCATAGGTTAGGTCAACCTTGCAGCAACACAGAGTGGCCATTTTGCAATAGGGTAGAATCTGCCTGTTAATTCTAAGGAGAGGAAGCTGGTAACAATTTAGGACATAAAAATTACGCTGTTGTTGTTGCTGTTGTTGGAGAGACTGGTTACCGGACTGTCAGTAGCTATCAGGGAAGCCAACAAAATCGTCTGTGTGAGATGGTGGCTTACCCTAGGGGGCCAGTGGGGGAAATGAACAGTGGAAGAATCTGACAGGTTTTTCCACACAGAAGTGACAGAGAGGGGCACCTGGGTGGCTCAGCCAGTTAAGCGGCTGACTCTTGGTTTCAGCTCAAGTCATGATCTCATGGGTTGTGGGATCGAGCCCCATGTGGGGCTCTGTGCACAGCAGGGAGTCTGTTTGAGATTCTCTCTCTCCCCCACTGCCCCTCCCCACACTTTTGCCCACACTCTAAAATAAATAAATTTTTTTAAAAAAGAAGTGATAGAAGTGTTGTGTTGCTATCAAGCAGCTAGAACAGGTGGATGTGATACTAGCCACTGAAGTGGAGAAGTCTGGGGAGCTGTGGGTGGTGGACCACGTCAAGGGTGTAGCTTTGAACAGGCTTGCTGCACACAACATGCTGGCAGACACCGGAGAGGAGGTGACGGGCCAACGTCTGCAAGCCACAACTCAGAGGGCAGGTGCTAGGGGGTCAATTTGGTATTTGGGGCCCAGAGAGAGAATTTGAAGGCATAGAAACTGAGGAGATCATCCAGAAGTGGGTAACAGGAGAAAAAGAAAAGAAAGCTCAGGACTGAATTAGAGGTCAACGGTTAAAGGTCAAGGAGGGAAAGAGCGGCCTGCAAAAGAGAACGAAGAGGAATTGGCAAAGAGATGGCAAGTTAATTGAGAATAGAGAGTCCATTAAGCAGGGAGCTGAGGGGCAGGGGGGAAAGAGAAGGATGGAGTGGCTTTCATAGTACATGCTGACGAGAGACTCATTCCAGTCTTCAAAACAACATAAATACATCTCATTTCGATTCGATGTTTATCACCTTAGTTATTTCGTGTGTTCTCCCCACTCACATGTTTTTCCTGCTCACCTGCAGAAATGACAACTGATATCCAAGTCAGGGACACTGTCAAATCCCCATCCTTTCAAGAGAAGTCTTTCATCCTTCTTTCTTTATGAATTTTGAGACTCCCCGAATTCTCTGGATCACTTCTACAATTCTTTCCATTTTGCTAGCATAGGCAGACTCTATAATCTTCAAAAGTCTCCACTTTCCAAATGTAAAACTATTTCAGATGCAGTTTATCATCTTTTGAAAATTATCCATGTTCATTTAAAAACTTATTAGCTCTTCACCTTCAATGTATTTGAATCGCCATGTTGTAGGAGCCCTGGATTATTAAGCTTATCGGAAAGTTAGGACAAGTTTTCCCTAGAGGATGGAGAAGTAGTTTTAAATTCAAAGTAAAAAAAAAAATTCCATATCTTAAAATAGAAGCAAATTTTTTTCTGTTTCACATTCTCTCAAGATACCCGCAATCCTTTTTAAACTCTCTATTTATTATTAAATACAAGCAATTTAGCTCCTTTGTGAGGTTATGCAAATAACTCATCCAGAATTAGCATTTAACATGCAGTTCTTATATCCACACAAATGTTTTGTATAAAGTTGTTTTAAAAAGATTCAAATCTTTATAATTAGGAAGGGAAAATATATTAATAGGAATAAAGGGATACCCTGCTAATCTCCCATATGTAAATTAGCTTATAATTTCCATCACTTACTTTAGAGGCAACAGAACAATGGAACTTTTATTCTTCAATATTGCTGTCTTTCTCCTTCTGCTAGCAAGTATGTGCTTATACATGTATATCTAAGGGAAAATGAAAAGGAATATTAAATGCTTTAGTTTTATGGGAAGGAGACGGCTGGTAAGTTGTGAGTGGGGTTGAAGTTGATATTCTGTGCTTTGACAGCCTACGCGATAAACTGCAATGCAGACCCTCTCGGGTTCTCATTTCAACTGGTTGTTTCTCCTTGTCCTCTTTGCTTTCGGGGCTGCAGCCACCCTTGCCCACGTGCCCCTTCCTCCGGTCTCTCCACCCCCCTCCCCAATCTTTACATAAAGGACATTGTAGAACGTATGGGGAACTTGTTCACTCCTCTGAGGGACTTTCTTTTTGCTTTAGTCTCCAGCTTGGCCTTTGGAGGAAGGGATCATGCAGATAGGAGTGGACATTGGCCAACAGTATAGCGCTGGTTAGATTCTTCGGTCTCGCTCACCTTCTGGCGCTTGGCTTTACTCTCTCAAGATTCTAGAAGTGTGATGCATAGTCCTAGGAGTTTACTGTCATCAGATGAACTAGGATGCTGAAGGATTCAAAACCAAGTCCGATACACAACCATGGAAAAGATTAGGTTGTTGAACCTGGAAGCAGATAGGGGAGCTCTGGAGAGACTTCAAATACAAAACAGGCTTAAATATGTCCCCTACAGCTGCCAAGTAGTACAACTAGACAAAAGGGTGAAATGCCTAAGGGATACCTATTTCTCCCTCAGCAAACATCTAGGGAACTACCATGTGCCGGGCAAAGCTGGTGTACTGGACACAAGATGAAAATAAGCACTTATTCCTGGCAGGAATGTCACGGTCTGGTGCAGAAATACACATGCAAGCCAACATTACAACAGGTCACGGGACATGTGACCCCAGAGGTATGCCTAGTTCTCAAAGAGAGAACCGAGGCAGGCTGCCTGCCCCTGCCTGGGGTACCAAGGAAAGCTTGGGATCTGCCCACCTGTCCGCATCTCCATGGCCACCGCCTCCCCCCAGAGGCCCTTAGCTCTCCTCCACCTTCTGCAGCCGCCTCAGGGCCAGTCTCCTGCCTCCAGGCCTCGCTCCCATTCTTTCACCCGCATGGCGGCCCGAGTCCGAAAAGGAAACCTGATCCCATCATTTCTTCCCTGAAAAGCCTTCGCTAACTGTCCCTGACCACAGACCAAAACCCAAACCCGCCATCTGGCTGATTAGGCATAACCGGCTCCTGCTTCCACCTCTAACCTGTTCTCTCCTTACTTCCCACCTTATGCTCCAGATACAGTCACTAACACGTTGTTTAAAGTCATCATTTGTTTCTAAGCCCTGAGCCTCTACACGTGTGTGCTCTCGGCCTGAAACTGACTGATCTGCCCTCAAACTTCACACATACAAATACACAAAAAGAGATGTGTGTGCTCACACATGTATATATATACACACATTGCCCTTCGGCCTATTCACTCATATTCTTTCCTCTGGTCCACAGCGCCCCAACACTCAGTGCTGGCCTCCTGTGGGTACACTCCTGTGTATGCCTTCTGTGTGCACCTCACTGACAAGCTCACCACGCTGTATTGTGCTTGGCTGTTTTATTTATTTGAGAGAGAGAGAGAGAGCACTCTTCAGCAGGGGGGAGAAGCAGGGGGGAGGGAGAAGGAGAAAATCTCAAGCAGACTCCCCATTGAGCCTGGAGCCGGATGCGGGGCTCCATCTCACAACCCCTGAGACCATGACTCGAGCCAAAACCAAGAGTTGGACACTCAACCGACTCACCCAGCCAGCCCTGTATTTTTTTAATAAGTGAGTAAGGAAACTTTTGAACAATGTTATCCAAAAAATGTAAGGAAGATCCCTGTCCCTGTAAGCATACAAATATATGTCTCTCATCTCAGTAGAGGGACCATTTCAAAAATTCTACAAGTTTCTAAAAGACTATGATGCTGTGAATCTACCTTAGGTCCTTTCTAGAAAGAGGCAATGTCTAAGTAAATAAGGTACAGATTATTCCTTACCAGTGGGCAGCAATGATCGGGCTCCGTGATTCTTTCTCTGAATTGGGCAACATTCTGATTTCGGGGTAAAACACTGAAGGTACGGTCACAAAGCAAAACACTCTTCCCCAGCCAGAGTAGCCGAGTGTAGCAAGCTTCGTCAAGCCGGCTGTAGGACTGCCAAAACACAGGGCCATTTAGCTGAGCGTGGGAGAATCAGGCTTTCGGTTTTCCCTTTCACATCTTATAAAAGTGTGAACATTTTAGCATCTTCATAACAGACCCACTCTTCTCCCAATCCTATCTCCTTCTCCTTACTGCTTCCATAACTTCAGACTATGAGCACCTGTATTCCTTTGCTTCGCGCTTTCTCATGCTGCCAGAGCCCACGTGGTAGTCTACCAATCGACTCTCCTCTTCAGTCCTCAGGCAAAGACTGCCCGGAGCTGGTATAGGACTGCCTCTCAGGTGGGATAACTTTAGGGCATGTGTCCTGCCCTGGGCTCACAGAGGTTGCAGTGAGATTTGGCTCTGGCTGCCAGAAGTACGATCTGGCTTGATGGCACATCTTTCCTGTCTCTTTCCCTTACTCCCCCTTTCATGGTTTCCTGTGATCAAACCCACATAAACTCCAAGTCTTGCCTCAGGGTTTGCTTCTAGGGGAACCCCAAACCAAAACAACTACCAACAAGCACATGTTCTCTATTTAGGAGCGTGAATCTGTCAGAGAAGCCTAAGACAGGTGGGAGTGACCATGAGAGGCTTTCCTCCTCGTGAGACATTATATTGGGCAGGTGGGAGATTGAGGGTGGACGCTGGTTCAGAGGGCGGGTTTACGGAAGTTTAGAATTGTGGACAGCTGGAGCCAAATCCCACCACGGAAACTCTGGGACCTGGGGCACGACACGGGCCTTAAAATGATCCCACCTGAGGAGCAGTTATATACCAGCTCTAGTCAAGTCTTTGCCTGAGGGTTCAAGAGGGGAGTGAACAGCCTGGCCCTTCCAGCCGGCCCTATAGGCCGTTGCTTACACTGCCTACCCAAGAGAATTGTATCCTTTCTCATAAGCATCTTATAAATCTGATCAGGCCAAAATATTATAGAGTCCGAGTAGACTATGGCTCAATATTTACAGCTCTATCCACAACCTCGGAAGTTACCATATGGTAATTAAAGCCAACAACTGCAAAGCTCTTAGAAAAATACTTTCCATCCCTGACTTTGTGACAGGGAGCGCAGGGCTCTAACCTGTGGAGGTGTCAGAGTAAAAACAGAAAATCTCAGCTTTTATAATTACGGTTTTCGGGGCGCCTGGGTGGCGTGGTTGGTTAAGCGTCTGACTCTTGGTTTCAGCTCAGGTCGTGATCTCGGAGTCGTTGCGCTGGGCTCCACGATGGAGTCTGCTTGAGATTCTCTTTCCCTCTCCCTCTGTTCCTCTCGCTCTCTCGCTCTCTCTCTCTCTCTAAAATAAATCTGAAAAAAAGAAAAAACAAAATAAAATTACGGTCTTCATGTTTATCTAGTTCCCCCCAGCAGTTTTACCCATGAAGGAACTGAAACCCAGAGAGGTGAACTTGGGTGCTCTCAGTTACCGTAGTTCCCCACTCTTACCCGAGCGTTCTACCACATTCCACCACTGCACAAGCAGAGCTGGATGAGTGACCTGGAATTTTACTCCATTCTCTTGACTATTTTAGACCAGATTTCCCCCGTAGAGAATGAGCTCCTAACGGGAAGCCAACACTGGTCGCTAGCCAGTCTGTCCTGTCAAGGCCTCCCAGAGACCGTTTCGTTTAGGAGTCTTCCTTCAACACTCAGATAACCGAGAGAGAGGCCTCACAGTGTGCTTTTGTCTAGAAAATCAAGCCTCTCGGTGTCATCTAGGGTAAGTCTAGGACGGCTGTTCTTGCCCCAGGCCCTCAGGGCAGCAGTTCCTATGCAACTGTCTGCATTCCTGTTGAGGCTGTTGCAAGTCACACCATACCAACCTCCAGCTGCATCCATGCCCCCCAAAAAGAGGTGCTATTTAGACTTGAACTTTCCTCCGGAATGCAACAGCTATTGTTAAGTCTGCATGATTCAGCCTCCTGTCAGTCATGGGACCTCCAGAGTCCTCCCTCAGAGGGATTCGTTAGTGCATTTCAAAGCCTTACCCTGAAGCTCCCTAGGCCACCAGCGGGGGGACCTTTTTGTTGGTCCTGGCAAAGAACTCAGGTTATCTTGATTAACAGGAAACACATTGTGCAAAAACAGTGAATAACGACAAGTATTTCAGGGAATTAGGGAAAGGTTTACAACCAAGCCTCACAGAATGGTTTTGATTCTGGTGATTTGTAATTACCACGACTTAACTTCTCTCTCCTGATGTTTCAGAGGAGTGTCTCTCTCATGCCCAGTTTCTGCTTTATGACTTTGCATTATTAGAGCTTCGGCTCGCTCACAACCTTTCCTGCTATGGCTTCTGCAAACAGCCTTCCCGGTGTATCCTTTCACCTTCAACTCCTCTGCTAATTGCTTGGCTGTGTTGTTGTTGTTCACTTTCAAGTTTCTGAGAGAAAAACCTCATTGCCCTGCCTAATGAACATTATCCCTTTCTGAATGAAGCTGTTGTGTCAAACCACCTACGAAACCTCTGGAGAGCCTACGTATTTGCTGGCTTTTCATTACTTGCTCTAGGAGCTGGTGTGTTATATACAATGTTATATAAATGTGTAAGGGACCATCTAGATCTGCCTTCCTTGACTAGCGGGCTGTGGATGGGGGCTTCCTAGGAGAGTATAAACCCTGGCCTATCAAGTCCATATCCCAGAGAGAGAGATGAATACGGTGACGATGCTGGCCCTCCCCTTAGGGCACCTCATATTCCTGCATGGGTGCAATGGTCTCATGGCTTCCAGAAAAGAAGAAACTGTGTTGCTCGCCCCAACCACTGCCTCAAAACGATTCCAGGTCCCTGTTGAAAAAGACTTTGGTAGCCTAAAAGGGGGGGGCGGCATGTTTAGATTCCTTGGTGCCCAACTTTAATCCATACAGTAACTTAGGCAACAAAGAAAAATGGGCCCTAAGCCTCTTTGAACCAAAACTTGAATGCATTTTGGTACATGATTCAGATTCCGAAAAAGTGATTATTGGCTAAAAATCCTACCTCATGATAATTTGGATATTGAAAAGGATGCATTTGTGTTTTGGCTACTTTCATGGATGAAGGTGCTCCCGAGTTATGGATGATTCATCCCTCACTATACAAAGTATTTGGCATTACTAAATGAAGTTTAAATTGGAGAGACACTATGCATTACACATGGAAAAAATTTGCATTTTAACATCTCCAGAATGCTATTAAATATCTCAGAAAGATCCATAAAGAAAAGTGTGTCCTAGAGCTTGAAATAGAAAGTGATTGGAAAAAGTAGAAATAGAGTTCCTATTTTTCAAAAAGGAGCCATATCATCCCATAAATCTTTGAAAAGAAGTTTTCTTGGGCTCTGCTCGAAGCATTCGAATGCCTCCCAGGAGCACCTTGACCTTAAATTAACATTTATAGAGTTTAGCTGACATCAAGCTTTGCAGTTTAATGGAAGGTTTAAAGTTGAAGAAGGTAAGTAGTCTAAATTGGTATTGTGTATTAAGTTCTGAATAAGCATGCATCTCCACAACTACCACCATTTTCATTTATTTGCCCCTCTAGAACAATAATAACAATTGGCAGAATATATGAAATGCATTTTCTTTCATGAATAATACATTTTTATATGTTAACCTCATGGAAACAGGAACAGTTCAACAGTAAGAGCACCATTTTAATGCTGTCTTAAGGAAGGGTACGTGAAACATTTATAGTTATGTCACTGTATAATTTAGATGACTGAACAGCCCTGTGGGTTGTTAGGATAAACAATAAGGAGTACTATCCTAGCCAGATTAAAAGAAGACAAGAAAGTTTCCTTTTCTTCAAAGTTGAGGACATATCACTGACACAAGAGCTAGGAAGTAAATTAGTCCTTAGTGGTGAAATGTCTTGGGAAATGAGATGGTTTACAAAAATAGGAAAATATAAACCAGGACCTCCTGATAGAAACTTCCTTATTAAAACATTGATTGTAGCACACAGGGCCAAATCTCTTTTGCCGAAGACCTCCCTGCTTAAACCCCGCTGGGAGACTTTTGGCCCTGTCAGACTCCCCTCGGGCACTGCCCTGTATCCTCTTGATCTTGCTTCCTATTGTAGCCATGGCGACTGGGAACAGATGAGCACAAGATGTGCCCATTTTACGCTGACAAGATCAATTCTCTCACCTGCCCAGGGCTCTTTGTGCTCTGGTGTGGGACCTCTATGCCCTCGGGAGTGGGAGGGACTTAACTCTCCAAGGCAACCGTCAACCAAAGGAGATCCAAGTGAGATCCTAGAGCCAATGGATAAGTGCTTCTCCTTGTGATCCTGTACGTGGACTGTTCTGTCCAGCCCCTCGGAGGGCACCGGCAGGGTGGAGCTCCAGCTGCCTACAGTGTTGACCAACTCAATCATGCACACTTGATTTGCCTTCTTCTCTACCTTCCTGGTTTGACTCTCCCTGGTCCTTCACTCCTGGTCCCTGGCATCACTTTCCAAAATAAACTACCTGCCAAAAGCTGAAGTCTCGGGCTTTAGTCTCCTGGGAAGAACTTAGGCTAAGAAAATGGAGCAATACCCCTAGGTCACTGTAATTATGCCCCTAACTTCCACATGGCCTCACTACCATGAATTATCTATCATTCTGCATGTCTAGTGCAGCACAAAGAGCCCTCCACGGTGCATGTATTTACAAATCTTACCACACTAAGGTAAAGACCCATGATTATCCCATTACTTTCTGCTGGAGAGTATTGATTAATAAAGCAAGACCCAGATCGTATGTTCCCTTCGTACTCCTGGTAGCATCCAAGATGTTCTGTGTTCACTGAATAGTTCATGGTACTGGACCACAGTAACCTGCAGAAAGTGGCCATATAAATAGTCCCATTAACTGCAAACCTCAGGGCCGTCAAGTGAATGAAGGCAAGGAAAACATTTTCCTCTACCATGAGTCTCATGAATGACAAAGTATTATATTTTATAAGATGTCTAACTGGCTCTATAAAGATATGGTCATTTATTTATCTTCTACCTACATACCAAATGTCATTGAAACTGGTGTAAAATCACTAACTGCTGTATTTATATAGAATAAAATGATTGTCAGACTAGTCAGAAAATTTCCACATTCCTAGGATTCTGTGTTTTGGAGAAAACATTTATAGTTATGTCAGTGTATAATTTAGATGACTGAAGCCAGGCTGCCAAAATATTCAAGTTAAGACTTAAGAACATACAGGATGGGGGCACCTGGGTGGCTCGGTCAGTTAAGCATCTGCCTTCTGCTCAGGTCATGATCCCAGGGTCCTGGGATCAAGTCCCCCATGGCCTCCCTGCTTAGTGGGGAGTCTGCTTCTCCCTCTCCCTCTGCCACTCCCCCTGGTTGTACTCTCTCACTTTCTCTCTCTCTCTCTGTCAAATAAATAAAATGTTTAAAAAAAAGAACATCCAAGATGTATAGGAAAATGCAGAAGTATTGTTAGAATGGAACAGGCAAGTTAGAAATGGAATAACCTAAGTTATACACAGTCACATATCCTTACTCACCCATGATCAATTAGGTCTGCAGCATTTGCATACAGTAATTTTCCATAGTCCCAAAGGGAGAGTAGGATGATTAAAGTGTTTCTCTTGGACAGGCATCATTGCTCTTTAAAGGGGAGAAAACTCTAGTTAACATCTGGCTGAGATACATTATTGAAATACATTCCAGACCTTGCTTCTTTTGGTTGAATTTTTTTTTTTAATCACTTTGATCCGCCTAATCTTCTGGTGGGGGAAAAGGAAAGCGTGAATGGCAATATATATATATCCCTTTTATGAGCACCAGTTTGTCCCAAGCATCTAGGTCATGTTTTACATATGTTGTTTCTAATAGGGTCACTGAGAAATGCACAAGTGATACGCTGTATGTAAAGAGGTGTAATCAGCACACTTGCGTGCATTTTGTTGTTATATCTTATTTGTCATGATATCCTGTATGTAGGTTCTAGTCAGGGAAATAGAAGCCAGGACAGGTATTTTAAGCAGAGGGGATTGCATACAGGGAATTATTTACACAAGAGTTTGAAGTCTGACAGAGCAGGAAGGAAATGCTTGAGGAGCCCCAATCTTAGTAACTGCTGGGAGCAGCTACCACCCCCAGGCCTGAGAGAGCAGAAGAGAAGAGGTCATCAGAACCTCGGAATTCATGGGAGGTCCCCATGTCACCCACAGCTGGTGTCAGTCTCCTAGAGGAGACGACATGCCTGGAGCTGGAGGTGCCAAAAGAATCCAGAGGCTCCCAGAGCCCGGGCGTGTCCAGAAACTGGAGAGCAAGACAGAAATACCTTCCCTTCCTTCTGCCGTCCAACCTCCTGTCTGTGCTTCCACTAGAGAACCTAACAGAAGGTAGACGTCAAGGGAGCCTAAGAAATGTAGTTCGTAGAATCCCAGCCCCAGCTTCACAAAGCAGATCATAGAAGACTGGCTTTGGGGCTGAAAGAAAATATGCAAATCATCAATCCATAGCTCTGCAATAATTATTAACTAATACATTACCTTTACATTTAATGTTTTATACCGAGCAGGCAAAATTTACTTTAAGATCTTTAAAACATTTTGTAGTTGTTTTATACCTTGGAGTTTTGTGATTTCAAGGAGTACAGAGTACGTTTGGATTCTATCATTATTAATACTCCTAAAATAGTATGAGATGAAAATACTATATGATGTTTTATTAATTCATATACTCACACACTGAAACGTTCTAAGCAGGGTTTTTTTTTTATTTTTTTGTTTTTTGTATCTGACATCATGAGTCAACTGGCAGATAGAAAAAATTTTAGAGAACTAGATGAGTTTCCACTGGCTTCAAATCTAAGGTG